ATATACTGTTATATAAAAAGGCCATTGGGGCTATGTATGAAATTGTTGGATCTGCATTATTATAAATTCTGAGACTTAAAAAATGACCAAAAAAATAAATTTTTGATATCAATAACTTATTGATTCTGTAAGATAACTTGTCGATTTGGTTACTAGAAAATATGAAAACAGCTGAAACACTGCCTATATGAAATTTTTGTAACTGAAATCAACTTAAGTTTTTGCAAAATTTGGATAAATTTCGGTATAGGATGAAAAATTTACCCATTAATGCACAATGTTATACAAATAAGCAATGTCTGATTTTGTGAAACAATCTAATAAATGAACAGTGATCCACATAAACCCATGATCACTGATCTACATATAAATACTTATTTTTTCTTTTATATAGTTCCATTCTCTTTTCCAACCTCGTCGTTAGTGTCATCATTTTTTGGTGTCATCGTTTCTAATGCAGTCGTGTTGTCGTTTTTTGGTGTCGCTTTTTTGGCATCAGCGTTTTTTGGTGTCATTTGATGGTGTTGTCGTTTTGTAGCATAATTGATTAGTGGCATTTCCTGGTATCGTCGTATGTGGTGTTCTGGTGTCATTGTCGTTTTTTGGCGTTGTTGTCATCGATTAGTGGCATTTTTTGATATTTCGCTTTTTTCGCTAGTGCGTTGTGTATTAGAGACGTATTTAGGTTTGTTTTCTTAGTATTGCCGCTTCTGACATTTAATTTTGTTACTGGTACTTTCGCTAATGTTCTTTTGTTTATGTTAGGGTTAGAGTCAAAGTTGTGAATCAGAGGGGAGTATTTTATACAGTAAAATTTTTGATGAAATTTTTTATTAGAGCATTAAAGATGATTTCTTATGCTGATTTTTAGAAATAAATCATTTTTAACAAAATGGATGTTTATTTCGAATTTTCTTAATCGTATTATATTGCACCTGTTCTGAAAATCTGATTCGTAGTTCAGGAAATATGCGGCACAAATCTGGTACACATTGAAGAATTGTGCCGTCGTGTATTAACAATGTAATTTGGTTTGTTTCATTTGGAGTTGCCACTTCTTTCATTTAATTTTATTACTAGTTCTTTCGCTAATATTTTGTTTATGTTAGGGTCAGAGTCAAAGTTCGGAGTCAGAGGGGAGTAGTTTATACATTAAAATTGTTTGACGAAAATTTTTATTAGAGCATTAAAGGTGATTTTTTATACTGATTTTTAGAAATAACCTATTTTTGACAAAACAGACGTTTATTTCGAATTTTCTTAATCATATTACATTGTGTCTGTTCTGGAAATCTGATTCATAGTTTAGGGAATATGCAGCACAACTGGAAATCTGATTCATAGTTCAGAAAATATGCAGCACAAACCTGGTACACATTGAAGAATTATGCCGGCGTGTATTAGTGACGTATTTAGGTTTGTTTTATTTGGTGTGCCATTTCTTGCATTTAATTTCATTACTAGTACTTTTGCTAATGTTCTGTTTATATTAAGGTCAGAGTCAAAGTTCAGAATTAGAGGGGAGTAGTTTATACATTAAAATTGTTTGCCGAAAATTTTTATTACAGCATTAAAGGTGATTTCTTATGCTGATTTTTAGAAATAAACTATTTTTGACAAAACGGACGTTTATTACGAATTTGCTTGATCATGTTATATGCATCTGTTCTGGAAGTCTGATTGGTAGTTCGAAAGTCTGTAGCACAAACCTGGCACGCATTGAAGAATTGGGCTGGTATTTATTGGTGACGTATTTAGTGTTGTTTTTTTTGGTGCTGCTGTTCTTGCATTTCATCTCGTTACTGGTATATTTTCTAATATTTTTCCTTTATGTTAGGGTTAGAGTCAGAATTGGGAATTAGAGGGGAGTAATTTATATAGTAAGATTGCTTGATGAAACCTTTTTATTAGAGTATAAAAGTTATTTCTTATGTTGATTTTTAGAAGTAAGTGGTCTTTTGACGAAACGGATGTTTATTATGAATTTTCTTAATTGTGTTATATTGTGACTGATCTTAAAATCTTGATTTGTAGTTCAGGATATCTGTAGCACAAACCTGGCACATATTGTAGAATTGCGCTAGTGTGTATTGGTAATGTTTTTATGTTTGTTTTTTTTGGCATTGCTGTTTTTGGCATTTTATTGTTACTAGTACTTTCGCTAATAGGAATAAATAGTATGTTTTAATAATAGTTGATTTAGGGTTAGTGAATAGAATAAAGGATAGAGTAAATATCGATAGATTTTTTGTAATCGTCGAAGCATATCAAAGACCTTACTATATAAGCAAATTGAATGCATGTTTATGCAAGGTTATCAAAAACTACTAATGAAATTTGAAAATTAATGCTTTTGTGACAATTTACGATTAGTGTATTGATTTTTAATTTCTTTGAATCTTTATTAGATTTAAATTTCCTAGCAAATAGTAATAATGGTTAGGATTATTGATAATAGTGAGTTTATAGTTAGGAATAGATATGTAATAAAAATTAATATGTAATAATATATTAATAACAATAAAATGATTTTTATATAAAATTGATTTTGTATTATTATTTAAATTGTATAATTAAATTAGTAATATGTTAATATTATAATGTATTTATAATAATATTTTAATAATAAATAAATAATTTTATAAGCATTATATGATTATAATATAAAAACAATATAAAACTATACTTTTACAATGCATTATACAATACTATTTAACAATGCTAACAATTGTATATAAATAATACAAAAATAATATAATAATTATATTGTCAAATTTTTTAAGGTTTTAGCAAAGTTTATTTTGAAGATTTTAATTTTGGTTTGGGTAGGATGTATATGTTGGCTTAGAGAGTTATTGTGATAGTTTATAAAGTTGAAGGTGAGTTTCCAATTGATTTTTTTTGGGTCTAAATTTCATAGATGTATTTTATTTAGGTTGTACTAGTCTGTTATATTTTTTGCATTTTGTAGGTGCTTTAGTAGTCTTCAGGTTGTGAAGAAATATATGACAGCTTAGTTTGGGAGTGTAGATATTGTGCAGTATCAGCTCTGTATTAATTTCAGTAGCAATAGTTGTGTTTGTAGTATTTGGTTTGATTGTAGTGTTTATAGTTGTTATTTATATTATTAGGTTTTTTCTCATAATTGCTGTTTTTATAGTTGCTTTATAAATTCTAAAAGGTGTAGATAACAATTGATTAACAAAATATGTAAGGATTTGAACTATGTTTGTAAAGTTATAAGCTAGTTGTTTTTCATCTGTAGTGATGTTTTATATATATGTATGTGGTACAACAGTAATTAAAATTAGTAGTGCTGTTAATAGTGCTTTTCTTTTGGATAATCAGGTTAAATTTGAGATTTGAAGGTTATAGGGTGTATTGGTTATTGTCTAGCAGTCTATAGGGTTGTATATTAGGTTTGTACTATTAGGTTATATATTTATATTAGCATTTAATACTTTTTTTCTATAAAGAGATTTGTATATTTCCTATAATTTTTGCTGTAGATTGGATGTAGCATCTATTAAGTTTTTTGAAATTTGTCTTTATATGTAGTGAAAGTGTATTTTTATAGTAGTTTTGTAGTATTAAGGTAGGTCTGTATAGGAGTTGTATATAGATCTCTAATGTTTGTATATATATATATATTTTTTTGTCTACTTGTATATGTATTAAATTTTGTACAGAATCTTTGAAATAGCAGCATTGTTGGTTTGAGAAACTAAGTCTGCATCTCATGTACTTGGTTGGCTATTAAGGGTTGTTTAGTAATAGTATTCAGTATTGAAAAATGATAGTTTAATTTTTTTTTTTTGAAAATTTTTCAAAAGCCTGAAGTCATGAGTTATAAATCCATATAATGTATTGGTTATTTAAAGGTGGTGTAATAAAGGGATTGGGTTGAACAAGCTGTTTATGAATATTTTTTGCTGTAGCAATATTATTTAATTGATAATCCGCCTATGAATTGAAAAATAGGTGAAATGAGACATCTGACATCTAAAACGTTTTTTCTTACTAAGTTAATGAAACATGCTTACTAATTGAAAGT